CCTGAAGTCTTGCAGATATGGCAAAACGGAGGTACTCGCTTCAATTGTTGTTGCTGCCGATTGTTGTTGTTGTAGCGTCGCTAGGTGTGAAACGCAAACTCTGGTACTGACGTTTTCTTCTTATGTCGTTCTTCTTGCAGGTCCATGTCCTGCTGTTCAGCATGGATTTCGGCGCAGAGTGCTGCTTCGGAGATTCTCCCGTGTGCCCGTAATATGGCGCGAGTGGAGCGCCAGTGAGGGCCAAGACCACCGATGACAACCGTGACAAAGGCGTCTTTTGAAATCGATCCTCCACATCGAAGAAGCTTGTCACGCAGTTCGCGGCAGCGACTGATATGTGCCATGCCCTTCTCGCCTGGTTTCATTTCGATTGTTGTCAGCTGCGCCATTAACCGGCTTTGGTTTACGTTGTCTGTTGCTTGATACAGGTTCTTCAAGTGGTTGTACGCGAGCTCCGCGGAGTTACTGTAACCTCGGTAAGTCCTTATGTTCTGCTGTTGAGTCGGGGTGATGTTCCTCAGTAGTATTGTGTACGCCATCATCGATTGATAGGTGTACGGCTACTTCTCATACTGCGTGCCGTTTGTTGGATATGGCAGGGACCCGTCGAAGAAGCCAAGGATCTGCGCTCCTTCCATCATCAGCTCGAATTCGAACGACCAGGTAAAGAAATCCTTCCCGTCGAAAGGTTTTGTCGTTTGTAGTTTTAGAACATGCGCGAATTGCGACTGAACTTGTAGTGCGTCCAGTGCTCTTTCTTGTCCCGGTGCAGGTTGTGGTTGCGGCATGAAGCTGACGGAGCCACGCTGGGGCTCGTACGGAGCGAAGGTAGGTTGTTGATGTTGATTCCCGCGTGCGTAGGATGAGCCATCGAGACTCATAGGCGTCACGTTGTTGTTGTTGTTGCTGTTGTTTGATTGCGCAGGTACTCCTTGCTGATGCTGCTCGTAGAAGGACATGAAGGAGAAGAATTTCTCCATCATACTTGGATCGAAGCCCGCGCCTTGGTTTGCGGGTGTTTCCGTAGATCCAGCTGCTGGTCTAGTTGTTGTCCCTTCCTCTGTCAGTAGGCCAGAGGCAGGAGGTGGAGTAGGGGTAGTACCGGGAGAGCCGTTGGAGGAGCTCCTCTCCTTTCTAGCAGACATGTCTTCTTGATGTATTAAGTGTTGAAGAGAAAATTTTAACTCTAACCAGCTCTCATACCATGTTGGGCTGAACGCCCTAGGATCTTTAGTAGAGTTAAAGTCTGAGTAAATGATGTAGTAGCGGAAGCGTTTGAATAAAGTCCTTGAACCACCTTGCGCTAGTATGTGAGGGCAAAGTAAGTTAATTAAAGCAAAGAGATACAGGAATATATATATGAGTACAGAGAATATGAAGAGACATAATTGTAACTGTTTTACTGTTGCGGTTCGATACAGTGCGACTCGGGCAACTGCTCAATGTCGAGTCAGTTGTGTGTCCTTGCTGTCGCGCTACGTCAGGTCAAAGGTCGCTGACCTTGTTAGAATGAGAATGAGAATGAATGGACTATGAATGAAGTGGGTACAAGTACTAACCCTAATTGGGTTGTACCCCCTATGGGATACCCCACTATAGCCTACACAAAAGCATAAGCTATAATGATCTGACACACCCCCATAGGCAAAGTGGGGGAGAACAAGGGGTCACAAGACCAGTCAAGCAAAGCAAAGTAAAGCAAGCTCAGGGTGGATCACAACGTCACCACACAGTCTGAGCACAAGGTCAAGGCCACAAGGCCAGTTCACAAGCAGGAGGAGACACATATATATATATATATATATATATATAAGTCTAAACAAGCAAGAGCAGGTATATATATATGCAAGAGTACAAGCAAGGTCAAGAGGTGAGCAAGTGAGGCAAGACTGGGACAAGTCCCAGCTGAGTGCAGAAACGCTGATGATCACAAGGCGGAAGTGCCTTGGTGAAAACATCAGCAGTGTTGGCCTCAGAGGCCACGTACGCAAGTCGCAACTGACCACGCTGCTGCAGCTCACGAGCAAGAAAGTAGCGGAGAGCAATGTGCTTCGTTCTGTGCTCCAGGCGCTGCTCTCGACACAAGGCCAGCATGGCCTTGTTGTCTACGTACAGCACTGGAGGAGAACGAGGCGGCTCTCCAAGGTCAGTCAGCAGGTAGGTGAGCCAGCGAAGCTCCTGAGCAGCCATGGCCCCGGCGTAGATCTCGGCCTCACAACTGGAGCCGAGAACCGAAGACGAGCGAGTAGCTCGCCACGAAACAGAGCCGGAACCAAGACTGAAGGTGTAACCCTGCGACGACCGCTGCGTAGCCTGGTCGTCAGCCCAAGAAGCGTCCGCGTGCCCAGTGAGCACCACTGGACTCCGCCCTCCAAGCACTAGCCTCATGCCCGACGTACTGCACAAGTAGCGCAACACCCTCTTCGCTGCAGCCATGTGCTCTGGTCGGTGTCTCCCAGGAGCAACATAGCGTGCCAAGATGCTAAGAGGGTATGCAAGGTCAGGTCGTGTGCAGGTCATCAGGTACATGAGGCAGCCAACAAGCTCTGGGTACGGGCCACTCGACTCTACGGACTCATCCGAAGGCAGAGCTGAGAGCGAGTGGCGAGTAGACAGAGGAGTGGCCTGAGGCGAGGAGTACGTGAAGCCGAAGCGCTGAAGGACCTGCTGCACCATGTGTGACTGAGTCAAGGTAATGGTGCGGTGTGCTCTGTCCCGGGTGATCTGCAAGCCAAGGTAGCTGCGCAGTTCACCCTGGTCTGTGCACGTGGTCTCTTCTGCAGCTCGGACTTCACGTAGGCGAGTCCAGCAGTGTCCGCTGTGGCAAAGACCAAGTCGTCGACGTACACGAGGATGTAGAACGGCGGCAGAGAAGTGTCGGTGCGCAGAAACAACGACGGGTCAGCAGTAGAGGGAGCAAACCCAAGAGCCGCAAGCGTAGTCCTCAGTGTGTCGTGCCACTCACGCGGTGCCTAGCGGAGACCGTAGACTGGCCGTCGGAGGCTCCACTGGGTGCCAGGAGGGAAAGTCCCAGTGAAGCCAGGTGGGCGGCGCAGCCAGATCTCCTCGTGCAGGCTGCCCTGCAGGAAAGCTGTGCTGAAGTCAAGAGAGTGAAGCTCGTAGTCGCGCTGAGCGGCTATGTGCAGCAGCACCCGAAGAGTGGTCATCTTCAGGGTGGGAGAGAAGGTCTAGAAGAAGTCAACTCCCTGCCGCTGACTGAAGCCTCGAGCCACGTAACGCGCCTTGAAGACAGGCGGAGAACCCGGAGGCCGCTTCACCTTGAAAATCCACATGCCACTGACGATGTTCGCCCTAGGTGGGGGAACCTCGTCGATGTAGGTGCCTGTGGACTTCCAGGAAGCCATCTCTGCATCCATAGCTGCCTGCCACTGAGAGGAGTAGGGACCCTCTACGGCCTCCGCGTAAGAGCGCGGAGTCGGGATGTCTAGTGCATCCGGGTCTCCCTCAGGGGCAAGCAGTACAGACGCGGGATGAGGTGAAGCAGCAGCCAGACACTGAAACTCCTCCTGCCTGTCCTCAAGGACGTCCGTGCCAAGAGCACACTCACCCCCGACGGAAGGAGGACAGACAGACGCAGACTCAGCAACAAGACTAGCAGCGTAGTCTAGACGACAGCGAGCAGCAAAGTCGACGAGCTCGGCAACAAGAGCAGACGCAACAGTGGACTCAAAGGAGGGGTCAGTGACGACAGTAGCAAGGAGACGCGTGACAGTAGGACTGGCAGCACGAAGAGAGTCCGACTCAGGGTCGGCAAGCGCAGGAAGAGAGGACGCAGGAGGAGAGGGCAAAGGGGCACGCAGAGGAGCAGTGGACGGACGTAGAGACATCCGGTGCGTGCCAGGGACAGGAGGAGGGCGCTGACGCGAACTGCGACCACTAGTGCGAGCAGCACGAACAGGCGACACAGGACGAGACGCAGGCTCACGACGCTCAACAAGACCTCCAGTAGGACCAGTGTAGGGAGAGGGAGAAGGCAGTGGGGAGGCCGGCGGTAACTGTGACTGCGACTGGACAGGCGGTGGACCCTCTAAGAAAGGAGGAAGATCAAGAACCTGCTGCAGGAGCGGAACGAAGTACGGCCGAGGCCGCGCAGCGGCACCAGACACAGCAGGGACAGCACCAGCACCCTCAGCACCTCCGGCAGCACCAACGCCAACAGCACGTTCAGCGGCAGGACCTCCAGCAGCACCCGCAGCACGACCACCACCAGGACGGACAGGAGCAGTCTCAGAACCAACACCCGCAGCAGCTCCAGCTCCAGGCGGACCCGCAGGCCCAGCAGCTCCGGAACCGGCGGCACCAGCACCCTCAGTGGCCGAAGAAGCGCAAGCTCCAGCAGTAGGCCTCCAGCGGCGAGCAAACCACTCACACAACTCCTGTGGAGAGAGTGGCTCCCGCCGAGACGAAACACCCGGAGAACCTCAAGGCCCAGCACCGCCAGACGCCACAAGGGGAGGTCCAGTGGCCGCAGGCTTCACACCTCCAGGCTCAGCAGCTCCAGACGCAGCACCCCTAGGCTTAGCACCCCCAGAGTCAGCACCCCCAGGCGCAGCACCCCCAGCAGTACCTGAGTCACCAGCAACCTCGACCGGCTCGACTGCATCGACCTGGGACACACCTGAAGGGGCAGGACCCTGAGGGGGAAGGCGGTCTACCGGGGGGGGACCTGGCACAAGGAAGTGCGGCGGCGGCGGGAGGGAAGGAGTGCGGTAGGGGAAGAGGCGGTAGAAGGGGACGGACTCGTCGAACGTGACGTCCTGGGAGGACAGAACACGACGAGAGGAGGGGTGGTAGAACTGCCACCCTGGGGCGTCAGGGGGGAAGCCTAGGAAGACACAGGGAGCAGCACGAGGGGACAGCTTGTCCGCAGACAGGTCGCAGACAAACGTATTCCCAAAAGCGTATTCCCAAACTCGGCCCGAAAGCGTTTAGCGTATATACAAGTGCGTATATAAGATAAGCTTATATACGCAATAAGCTTATATTCCCACTAAGGGAGGGGGGACGAAGCATGTGAGGGTGGGTGGGTGGCAGTTACGGGCAGGCAGCGGAGTGCTGCGCACAAGGCAGCTGAGGCACAGTGCTGCGCACACGGCAGCTGAGGCACAGTGCTGGCGAGGCACAGTGCTGGCGAGGGAGCCGTGCATGGCATGGGATGGGACGCACGGGCCTTCAAAGGGGATGTGCATGCTTGCACGGACCACATGGCACCCTCGCCTCGCCTTGCCTGGCCATGCCTTGCCTGGCCTCGCCTTGCCTGGCCTCGCCTTGCCTGGCCATGCCTTGCCTGGCCTCGCCTTGCCTGGCCATGCCTTGCCTGGCCATGCCTTGCCTGGCCATGCCTTGTCTGGCCTCGCCTTGCCTGGCCTCGCTCAGTGAGCCACTCACCCCACCCCTCCCACACTACAGCCGCTGTGCTGCGTCGTCATGGTCCCCCACCGCACCTGCGTCGTCATGCTCCCCCACCGCACCTGCGTCGTCATGCTCCCCCACTGCACCTGCGTTGGTCCCTTAACCACTCAGCCCTCTCCCAACCCAGCAGCACCACCAACCCCATCGCCCCATGCCACACCGCATCCCACCACTGTACATCCCCTTCCCTCTCCCCCCCCCCCCCCCACCTGCGGGCGGGGCGTTCTCAGGGGTGGCGGGCATGGTGCCGTCCACGGCCAGCCAGTGCGGCGCCACACTCACGTCCACCGGGGCGCACGGCAGCCCCGCCTCCACCACCTGTGATGTCAGGCACCGCGCACCGGGGGCAGGGGACAGGGGGGGCGCCCAGGCTCGCACGTGGTGAGACGCGTGGCGCGGCCAGGCATGCGGAGAGCGATGGTGCGGGCAGTGGAAGGAAGGGACAGCGCAGCGCAGGACAAGTGCCGTTGCCGAGAAGCTTCAGCTCAGTTGGTGCATGGCAAGTGGAAACCACAAGGCGCGGCAGGCATGGCAGCGGCATGGTGACAGTCCATGTGCGACATGGTGACAGTCCATGTGCGACATGGTGACAGTCCATGTGCGACAGGTGAGCAAGTGAGCGGTGTGTGAAAGTGAACGGGCGACCTGGGAGAGTGAACGGGCGACCTGGGAGAGCGGCAGCGTGGGGTCGTGCAGGAAGACGACGTCGCTGTGCCCCACTGCCCGCCGGAACCGCACGCTGTCCGCCGCTGCCAGCCCAAACAGCGGCTGCCACGCCCCAGAGGAGGGGTAGGAAGAGGAAGGGGGGGGGAGATGAGGGAGGTGAATGCAGAGGAGTGGAGCGCGTGCGAGAGTGCCATGTGTGGGGCGGGGAGGAGTGCTGGCCAGCAGCAGCATGCGTGCGAGGCAGCAGCACACCTGACAGCAGCACACCTGACAGCAGCACACCTGACAGCAGCAGGGCTCACCTCGACGTTCCGCAGGCTGAGGGCGGCCGCGATGTCCGCCGTGGTGAGGGTGGTGCGCCGGCTGTGCCGCATGCACTTCACCGCCTCCTGCGCACCACACGGCGGGCGGGCGTGGTATGGTGGGCGGGGATGGCTTAGTGAGTGAGCCTAGGGAGACAGAGGAGCGAGGAAACGGGAGCAGCGGTTGTGAGAGGTCTACGCTGAGCGATGCTGGGAGTCGCCTGCGACTATGCGACGGCTGCGAGTACGCGCGCATGCGACCTCGCCCCGCACCCGCGCCGTTGTGCTACTTCCTCCCCCACCCACGCGGTCCCGCCCACCCACGGCCCCACCCTTGCCCATGCGGCCGTGCCTGGATAATCTCGCGCATGCGGTACTCCACGTCAGGCGCCAGCGCGGCAGCCACGTCATCGCCGAGACTCGCGATGCCGATGCTGTGCGCCGCCACTTGCACGCTCTCCCGCGGCACCACGCTCATCGCGCCCGCCGCCCGCCACCCGCCGCCCCTCGCTGCTAGTCACGCGCTGCTCGTCGCCCTCGACCGCCACTAGCAGTGGCCCCTCTAGAACTGGTCACCGCGCTCAGGTCAAACAGTGTTAGTCACTATGCTGCACGCTATTTAGGTTTTGTTCTAATAACACACACTACCCGATTATGCTTCTACTGAGGCGCTACGAAACAGTGTTAGTCACTATGCTGCACGCTATTTAGGTTTTGTTCTAATAACACACACTACCCGATTATGCTTCTACTGAGGCGCTACGGTATCGCGAGGAAATGCATTTTCCTTGCGGAAAATGTGCAAATGTGTTATGGTGCAATGGAACAAGAAAACGAGGTACAAAGTATGAGGGTAGGCATGAGCGAATACTTATACGCGAAACAAGCAAACGGTAACGCGGTGCGTGCGAGCTACCGTAGCTAGTCCTAGGCTGGCATCGAGGTTCAGGCTAGTCCCGAAGCGGCCGACTTGACCGGGCCAGAGGTGCATGGTTTGGTGAAACAGTGCACGCGAAGTTGGCGAAGCACCGTTAGGAATGTCGAGAAAATTCCTTACACTACCCCCCCTGCCGAGATAACTCTATCAACGGGAGCTAGAGTACAAGCTAGGCACGGGATAGGAGGGATCTCTGTGTTCGTTCCTCAGTCGTTTACTTGTGCTTGCACTACTTGCTGGTTCACGGGGAAAGTCGGCAAGAGTTTCACTTCCAAAAGTTCACAACAATGGTACAATCAAGTTGGCAAGACAAGACTACATCAGAGCTAGAATGAAAGCAGGTCCACTACTAGCGCAGCATGGTTGACAGCATTCCAGCACGACTTGGTCGACGGCGCTCCAGCAGTACAAAGTCGCGGCTTGCCAACACTGCAAGTCGACGGCGTGCCAACGTTGCATCCGCAGAACAGCAACGTGTGAAAATTCTAGCAAGGCTTAGGAGCCATGGCTAGTTAGATCGAGTGAGTTGAGTTCGAGAAAGTTGAAAAGGAGAAAAGAGTCGAGAGAAATGAGGGTTTCACTATAGGTTCTGTTGGGCTGAACGCCCTAGGATCTTTAGTAGAATTAAAGTATGAGTAAATGATGTAGTAGCGGAAGCGTTTGAATAAAGTCCTTGAACCACCTTGCGCTAGTATGTGAGGGCAAAGTAAGTTAATTAAAGCAAAGAGATACAGGAATATATATATGAGTACAGAGAATATGAAGAGACATAATTGTAACTGTTTTACTGTTGCGGTTCGATACAGTGCGACTCGGGCAACTGCTCAATGTCGAGTCAGTTGTGTGTCCTTGCTGTCGCGCTGCGTCAGGTCAAAGGTCGCTGACCTTTGACTTTCTCGTAACCTCCAGCGGTTACGTTAACCTCCGAGGGTTGACTCGCGGTGCTTCGATTTGAGCTGCTTCGCTTGTGTCTTGAGTTTCGACACGACAGAGGCGCTTAAGACTATTTGTTCCCAACACTCCCCTTCGCTTCTGGAGTGTCGCTGATGGTGACGTGGCTTTGTCCAGTCAGCAGCATGCAGTACTCGAACTTCTGTTCTCCGAGCTTCTTGGTCAAGTAGTCAGCTGCCATCTCAGACGTGGGACAGTAGGATAGTTTGAGTTTCCCTTTCTCGATCTCGTCTTTCACGAAGAAATATCGCAGGGCGATATGCTTCGTTCTGTTCGCGAATCCGCTCTTGTTGGCGATGCGAATCGCAGATTGGTTGTCGCAGAACAGAGTGAAGTTGGGTAACTCGGCTAACTTCGCTTCTTCCAGCAGCTCGCGAAGATAGAGTCCTTCCTTGGTGGCTGAGCAGAGTGCGATATATTTTGCTTCAGCTGAGGAGAGAGCGATTAGTTCCTGCTTGCTCGATTGCCAGGAGATAGGTCCGATAGGTTCGAGGCGGTAGATGTAGCCAGTGCGGGAGCGTCTGTTGTCTGAATCGCCGGCGTGATCGGCATCGACGTAGCCGATTAGTTTCGTCGGTGTAGTTTTACTCTTGTAGTAAGTCAGGCCGATCGTCGAGGTGCTCACGAATTAGTGGAGAGCGCGGTCGAGTTCCGCCAGGTGTTCTGTTTCGGGCCTTTTGAGATAGGTAGCAAGTTGACTTGCGGAGTAGGACAGATCTGGGCGGCAGGTGACGGCTGCGAAGAGAAGGCAGCCCAGCTTCCTCTGGTAGTCGCGTACTCCGGCGGTTTTGAGTAGAGCGGGACCTCCTTTGTCGTTCCTTGCCGTGTAGCGGTATGGCGTGGAGATAGTGGTAGGTGTGAGCGAGAAGCGTTTGGCGATAGTGTCGGCATACTTTTCGGCGCTGAGATAGATCGCGGTCTCTTCTTCGCGGATGTTGAGTCCGAGGTACTGAGTGACGGTAGAGGAGACCGTGAGTGTAAGATCCCTCTGCAGCTCCCCTTCGAACCAGGTGGTGACGTCGTCGGTGGAGCCAATGTAGAGTAGGTCGTCGACGTAGACGATCAGCAGGATATAGTCGGCGTTTTTGGTGAGTCGATACATTCCTTGGTCGTGAGGTAGTTGGCGGAATCCGATGCGAGTGAGGCGAGTATGTAGGTGCTGTTGCCACAGCCGCGGGGCTTGTTTGATACCGTAGAGCGATTTCAGTAGCTGGCAAACTTGGTTAGGTTCCCCGTGGGTACCGTGTAGGAGCTCGACGAAGATTTCGGCGTCGACGGGTGTGTAGAGGAACGCGTTGGCGACATCGATTTGTCGCAGTTTCTTCTTCTTCATAGCGGCGATCGCGAGAAGAATTCGGAGTGAGGTATGTCGGCTGACCGGGGCGAATGTCTTGGTGAAGTCCCGTCCGTGCTCCTGGTCGAATCCACGCACGACCCAGCGTGCTTTGAATTTCTCGATTGTACCGTCTGCCTTTGTTTTAATGCGGAAGACCCATTTCCCGGTGAGGATGGTTTTGTTCCTTGCCACGCTTACGGGAACGACTTTCCAGGTGTTGCGTTCCTCCAGCGCCTTTAACTCTCTGTCGATGGCTTCACGCCATTTCTCCCTGTGTTCCCCCCCCAGAGACTGCTGAACTGTCGCAGGCTCTTTAGGAAGAGCATTGCCGTGGACTGCGGTGACGAGGCCGAGAATCTGCAGTCCAGTCTGTGAGTAGCGGGGGAGAGTTGTGTCCTCGGGATAAGCTGCTTCATCTCCCGCTTCTGGGTCGGGTATGAAATTCGGCCCTATCCGCTCTACTTCGTTGGTGTTGACTGTCGCAGGTGTTACGTAACCGTTGTCGGCGAAGTGGTAGAAGACTTCGGCGTTGGCGCTTTCGCGAGGATTTTCTTCGTCCATGGGGACGTTGACGGAGCAGAACGGTAGAGGTCCGGCTTCTTCTGATGCGTTGTCGACGTTCTGCTCGTCCCAGTCTGCTTCGTCCGCTGCTGAGGCGAAGGCTCGGTCACCACGAAAGCCACCTGTGGGGTCCTGATTTTCGTGCAAGTTGGCGAAGTACGTCTGAAGCGTGAGTCGTTCGTAGAAGATCACGTCACGTGCTGCTACTGTTTCCTTGGAGTGGACGTCGAAGATTTTCCACGCGTTGTAATTATTTTCGATGCCGAGGTGTAGTCCCCATTGTGCGCGTTGTGAAAATCTTCCCGCTCGTGCTTCTGGGGGTCGGTACTGTACCATGCACCCGAAAACTCGTAACATTTTTGTGCTGCCCTGTTTCCCTGTCCACAGCAGATGCGGTGATGCGTTGTTCGGAAGTGAGGACGACGGCATCAAGTTGTGCAGCATGACAGCGTGGTCCATTGCTGCAGGCCACTGGTGGTTGGGTAGCCGCATGCCACGTAGCAGTTTGCGCATGCTGTTCTGCAGAGTCCTGTTCATTCTTTCTGCGACACCTTGCTGCTGATGGGCGTAGGGAAGGGAGAGGAGTGACAAAGTTTGAAGAAAGAAAGAGGAAAGAGGATTGAACTAGCAAGAATGAGGATACAAATAGCAAACCCTAGAAGGGTTGTACCCGCTATAGAGCACCCCACTACAGGCTAGAACAATAAGATAACATTCTGACACACCCCCATAGCCAAAGTGAGGTGTAATCAGCAGAGCAGGCAAAGTAGTACAAGCTCAGGGTGGATCACAATGTCACCACACATTCTGAGCACAAGTTCAAGAAGAGATAGTTTAGAGTTCACAATTATGAGCAGAGCTAGTGGTAGTCACAACGGGCAAGTGAGGAGGAGGAGAGAGAGTGAGGGGAGAGGAGATAGGAGGCGACGGCTGAAGCTGCAGGCACACGGGCAACAGGAGGCACACTGGCACAGCAGCTACCGGACAGCGCCCGGACTACAGGAGTAACAGGCCCCGCGGCTCAAATAGCGGCGGACGGGCAACGGACCCACGGGCGGCTGGCACAGCTGGCTACGACTGGGCTACCGGGACAGCGCCCCGGACTACAGGTGCTGCGAACGACAAACTGACAACCTCCACTCAACCTCCCGCACACAGTCCCACCCCCCTGATGCACACCCACTACTACACCGCTAGCTGCACTCCCACGCACCCCCCTTAAACCCTAAACCCGAGTCTCCCACACAACCACCCCCCTCAGCGACAGCTGCAGCAGTGGGAGACGAA